AATATCAACCTTAAACACTTTCCAGTCCCCCAAATTCTTAGGAAACCATTTTACATTCAGTGGGGAAAAAACTATAAACCTTAAAAATAGGATAAAAGCAGGCGGCACCCGTGGCTCAGTGAATGGGTTGCCAGCCCCATATACCGAGGGTAGCAGGTTCATACCCGGCACCAGCCAAACTGCAACAAAAAACAGCTGGGCATCGTGGTAGGTGCTTGTAGTTCCAGCTACTCAGGAGGCTGAGGCAAGAGAATCGCCTAAGCCCAGGAGTTGAAGGTTGCTGTGAGCTGTGTGACACCACAGCACTCTACCGAGGGCAATAAGGTGGGACTCCATCTCCACAAAAAAAAAAAAAAAAAAAAAAAAGATAAAAGCTTACAGTCATCGTTCAAAGTTGACCAATTATGATAATAGGCCAGGCACAGTGGCCCATGCCTGTAATCCTAGCATTCTGGGAGGCCGAGGCAGGATGATGCCTTGAGCTCATGAGTCCAAGACCAGCCTGACAAAGAGCAAGACCCTATCTCTACTAAAAGTAAGAAAATTAGCCAGGTATACAGGTGGGTGCCTGCAGACCAAACTACTTTACATGCTGAGGCAGGAAGCTTGCTTGAACTTAGGAGTTTTAAGGTTTCTGTGACTAAGGCTGACACCAAGGCATTCTAGCCCGGGCAAGAGAGTGAAACTCTCTAAAACAAACAAACAAAAAAAATATGATAATGAGCCAGAACCCCAGAATCCTGCCCTATTGATATTATACAGGGTGTCCATAAAAACAGGGTGCCATTTAAAATAATTATCTATACCCTTCTCTATGCTTCTCTTTGTTTACTCTTATCATTTTTTAGTTGATGCATCAACATTTATTGTGGCAGGGTTCTCAATTCACCAAGAATTGAGAGTTCAGATTTTTCATATGAGTACAAATTTTTCTTTTAATTGAACTTTTTTTGAGACAGAGTCTTACTATGTGGCCCTTGGTAGAGTGCCATGGCATCACAGCTCACAGCAACCTCAAACTCTTGGGCTTAAGAGATTCTCTTACCTCAATCTCCCAAATAGCTGGGACTACAGATGCCTACCACCACGCCTGGCTATTTTTTTTGGGGGGGGGGCAGGGCTAGGTTTGAACCCGCCACCTCTGGCATGTAGGGCCAGCGCCCTACTCCTTTGAGCCACTGGCAGCACCCATCCTGGCTATTTTGTTGTTGTTGTTGTAGTTGTTTGCCAGGCCCAGGACGGGTTCAAACCCACCAGCCCCAGTGTATGCGGCCGTCGCCCTAGCCACTGAGCTACAAGCACCGAACATGAAGTTAACTTTTTTTAGGGAACTTTTTTTTCTGAGACAAAGTCTCACTTTGTCACCCTCCGTAGAGAGCTGTGGTGTCATAGCTCACAGCAACCTCAAACTCTTGGACTCAAATGATTCTCTTGCCTTAGTCTCCTAAGTACCTCAGACTGCAGGCATCCCCCACAACGCCTGGCTATTTTTAGAGACAGGGTCTGGCTCTAGCTCAGGCTAGTCTTGAACTCATGAGCTCAGGCAATCCGTCTGCCTCTGCCTCCCAGAGCTGGGATTACAGGCATAAGCCTCTGTGCCCGGTCAAAATTATGTTTATTTTTTAAAAAAGCAAAAAAGAAAGAATACACTGACTGTGCTTTGAGCTTCTTTTGAAAGCTTCATTTATGAAGCTTTAATGATCTTTTAAAAATTTCCATGCACACCTAAGATCCTCTCATATGGCACACCAGTGTGCCTGAAAATCACTGTAATACTGTATAATCTCAGGCACACTTGCATTTAGAGTTTAGAGTTACTTTTAGGTAAAAAAAAATCTTCCACAGAAATGGCGATTTTCTGAGTCATAAACCTAATTTACAATCAACTGGAACTTTCCAGCATGTAGCAAGCATTTTTTAAAAGTGTGGCTCGGCGCCTATAGCTCAACCGGC